GCTGGTTCCTCGATCCCGTGCACATCTTCATGCTCTCATGTCGATGGGACATTATGAATTGGTACACGAAGCAGCACATGCAGTGGAGAAGATCATCTGCGCCGCTAACACGGGCGAAACCGAACTGATGTCGATGTGGTATGATGTGAGTTCTACTCACCAAAGGAGGTAGTCGACATGACGATTCAAAAGGACATACATGCCGTTAGATGCAGTTTGAAACTCTGATTCCAAATTAGTCTCCCTCTGCGAAGTGTTTCTTTGAGAATGATTATAGTCTCTGCCAAAAACAGTCTTTGCTGCTAATAATTGACCCTAAAAACCATACTCGACCTAAAACAACAACCAAGAAGTTTTCATCTGATAAAAAGGTCATTACAACAATATTCAGCTTCTGCATTGATGTTTTGGGTTAGAGTAGAACTTTTGGGCACAATTTTATATAGGTCTTGCAAGTCATCCTTAGTCTATAATAACTTCTTCCACAAAATTGCTTCATGGGTATGGAGGACAGAATTGAAATCAGCTTTTCTGATTGATAGACCGATATGTCACTTTTTGAATCGCCACGTCGCCTTATCTTGTTCATTCTGCTTGGCATTTGCTAAACAAAAAAATTTTATTCTGCAGGAATTGGTAGAAGAATATTTGGCCGAACAACCCGTTGGAATCGAGTTGTTTCCCTTTTCATCGCTCGAATTTCAACTAAAGATCGCAACTGCTTTCGTCGTTCTCCAGCAAGAGGCCTTTGATGAACAACTTCGCCTTATGGGTAAATTACACTAATACTACGATACCCCCTCCACTAACTCTGGTACGCATTACTCTATTTCTAGAAACATTGAAGTACTTGATGGATAGACGACTAAAAGCACGTCATGGTAGTATAATTAAAGATTTTCAACTCCTATTACCTTCGTACCAGAAGTCGTTCGTTTATATCTTCAAAGTAGGCCGAATCGAGCTATATTGGTTCTGGGACCCCAACGAAGGTGATTTTTGGTTTTGTAAATTGCCATATGATTCTGTGTAACGGATTATTTTTAGGGGAAGAACTGAATAATGCAGTAGAAGTACAGGACGAGAATTTAACATTTTTTGAAAATTGCCTTGCACAGTACTTGGAAAAACGAGGAGTCCACAAATTAAATTCATTAAGCAAAAAAGCGGGTGTGGTTATAGCAAATGACACGGTTCATGATTCAGCTAACACTACAATCTACGCTCTCTATTCATCGTCAGATTGCGAAGAGCAGAGTTAAGTGATTTGAACAATTTATTCATCGGCTTTTATGAAATGATAGGGGCAGATTCTAAGTAATTTTCAATGAACAAAGGCTTACAATAAAACATGCAGAACTTCTCTTTTTGCAAAGACGTTTCACAGCTTGTTGAAATTACTCCTTTTGATGTGGTTTGTCAAATATGGCATATTGACAATGAAAAATTGATATTTTAGGAATCAACATGCTGGCATTCTTTGGTTCCCTCTTCATTCGCAAGCTCCTTTCGAATCCTCTGTAAATTTGTATAATAAAATAAGAGAACTAAGACATGCTTTTATCGCTGTGGTAGATTCCGCGGATTGCTGGCTCAATTCAGATGTATCTCTATCCATCGGAAGAACTCCACCTATTGTGATAAGTCGAGGTAGGGTCAAGAAGATATGGAAATTTTGCTGAACAAACCCAGGAATTCTTTGCTCCTAGGACAACTTACCTGCATCTCCTTTTTTTTCAGGGCCACTTGAATTTGATACAATTCGCTCCTTATTCCTTTGTGGAACCGATGTTGTAGTAGAACTGGATGTAACCTCTTCAATTAAAGAAGCAGAACGATTAGTTGACGAGGTAAGCTCACAATTTCAGGATTAGACTATTTTCTACTGTTCACTATAATTTAGATATGCCAAGCAAGCGACATCGCGATGGTCCTTCCCCGTTACAAATGCACCTTGAGGTCCGCAGATTGCTTACTTTGGACAGCCCCACCTACCCCTCGAATGAGTCTGGACACTTTAAAGACGCATGCAGGCAACATTAAGAATAACACAGAAATGGATCTCACAAGTAATCATCGTTATATTTTGGCTTATTTTCCATTTAGCGCTTCTCCACCTTGCTTAAACGTTTTATAGCTGGCCAGATATCTAATAAAGTGCCAACATTTCTACTCGAAACACGGCATTTGAGCAACTTCTGGCTGAATAGGACACGAAGAAGGTAACAGTGTTCATCAACAGGAGTTTCAAATTATCTGCCAATTCTAGGAATAGCAACGGATCCGAGGATAATGCTCTTACCGAAACAACCGAATTCCTCATGCGGACCCTCTTGAAAGGTTTTTGCAATTTTGCTTATCTATTCCGTACTGAATTCATGAGAATTCCAGTTACTACATTCCCCACAAAACAAGAACAGCACGATTTTCGAGACAAAAAGCAGGGCACAAGAAAGAAGAGACGAAGAAAAAAAATGGAAAATCTAGTTGCTAGGTATTCATCAATCAATCTAGCCTACGTAGCACAAAATATTTTATTATTAATATGAATAAACTTCAGAGGCTACATGTCAGACTCTGGCGAAACATCGTGCCACCACCCCATACACTCACGAAGTCTCAGCGATCTCCATACCTAACCTATCGAAAGCCTCCATTGGATCTCAATATGTAGAAAGTTTATTGCTGAAATGCAATCATAATATAATATAATGGTGATAAAGCGTAACTACTGCGAACGTCCTTGTTCTCGAAAAACATAGAACATTGGAAACTCCACCGAGTGTGTATACCCGCGAAGAAAGGATACTTTAAATGTTAAAAGTGCAAACGAGCAGTTTTCAGTAGCAATTTTTAATGGAAGTATGGATATTAGACACCAAAGCGGTCAAAGTAGTTAAAGGCTTGGAACGAATCAAACAAGTGAAAC